AGCTAGCTAACTAGCATACATTGTCACTATCTGCTAACGTTAGCTTTAGCCTTCGTTTTCTAATAGTTTTTTTCATAGGCTATAAACAGAGGTGGTATAAGTATATATCTTGTACTCAGTGGCGGCGCCAGGGTATGGCTGGGGTAGGCTACAGCCATACCAAGAAATGGCTTAGCCCCACCTTAGCCCCACCATGAAAAGTGATGCAAATTCAATTAAATAATAAGCGAAATGCTAAATGTTGAGAACACGGATTGCGAAAATATACGGGTCGTGTCCACAACACACAAACTGATCCTGCTGTAACAACAAGTGCACGTTACTGATGCAATTACTGAGTTTTATACACTAAAGGTGTGGAAATTCTCTGGCGTTAAAATATCAGCGCGGCCGCAGTCAGATCAAAATGCCTCCGAATGCAATTTGAATAGACCTACAGCCAATCAGAGCAACGCAACGTTGGATCTGCGTCATGCCTTATTGATTGAGATCAATCGAAACCGCCATTCAGTATCCCCATTGGATCTTCAACGTGTACTATCATACGTCACGTTCACAGTGATCCCTTTTTATTTACTACAAGACAAATGTGCCGTTTTATTTCATACAGTTCCATTTTGATTGAGACAGGGAAATAATCTAAACCTCACGCGTGGCGTTTCACTGTCAAGGGGGGCGATATAGCGTTTATGTAATTACATTGCAAATACTGACTTGAGCCCCACCACTGTATGGGTTAGCCCTACCATAGATTACCCAACAAAAATGCTCTGGCGCCGCCACTGCTTGTACTTGAGTAAAAGTAGAAGCACTCAGATCTTGTACTTGATTAAAAGTAGAAGTACTCAGATATTGTACTAGAGTAAAAGTAGAAGTACTCAGATCTTGTACTAGAGTAACAGTAGAAGTACTCAGATCTTGTACTAGAGTAAAAGTAGAAGTACTCAGATCTTGTACTTGATTAAAAGTAGAAGTACTCAGATCTTGTACTTGAGTAAAAGTAGAAGTACTCAGGTTTGAGTAAAAGTAGAAGTACCAGAGTGTAGGAATACTCTGTTACAGTAAAAGTACTGCATTCAAAATGTTCCTCAAGTAAAAGTAGAAAAGTATTATCATTAAAATATAGTTAAAGTAGCAACAGTAAAAGTAGTCATTGTGCAGATTGGTCCATTTCAGAATAATATATATGATATGTTTTATAATGATTGATCATTAAAGTGTTCTCAAAGCTGGTAAAGGTGCAGCTAGTTTGAATGACTTTGTATACTGCAGGGTAGCTTGTGAATTTACTCCAGGTGGAACTAAAGTCTGATTTAACACTTGATTATATTTCACATCATTCATCCACATCTGTGAAGTAACTAAAGGTATTAAATACATGTAGTGGAGTCAAAGTACACCATTTACCTCTGAACTGTAGAGGAGAAGAAGAACAAAGTAGCAAAACATTGAAATACTTAAATAAAGTACAAGTATCTCAAAATTGTACCCAAGTATAGTACTTGAGTTTATGAACTTACTGAAGTTACTTTACACCACTGGCTATAAAGATAGAAAGACTAAGCCTTGCACAGAGGCATGAAAATACATTTTCAAAATGCTCAACAGTGCTGCCAAAATTATAAACTGACTGCTACACAATTAAAATAAATGCTTTTATATATTTCTATTAGATGTGACTCTTTGGCGTTTCTGTTATTATTAACTGCTTTAGTTGTTGTGACTGCTAAAATCCTCTGTTATTCCTAATTTTAAAGCCGATATTCCGTGGGGTCGGGGGGCTCGGATCCTTGTCACCTTTTTCATACCTGATGAGTTTGCATCCCTGAGTACTACTACCACTGCTATAGACTCTTACAAGAGGTCGGAGGTAAGGTATTTTACCTCGCTTGGTTGAGGTTAGGATAGGTTGTCAGGCAGCGAGTCTTGCATTCTCACTAGAGTAGCTCACTGTGGTACATAATGGAACTGATCCATCCTTATTGTTATCTGTTTCTCCAGTCCTTTCCTACTTTGGCAAGTCTACTGTGAAAAAGTTCTGTATGAAGCAGTTTAAGCACTCCTGGATTTCTGGCACAGACCCCTGAAGCCCCTCAGGCCGTTAGGATCCTCCTGCACCTGCAGTGTCCCCGCAGGTCCACAAGCCCTGAACGCATCTGAGCCAGCCAACACGCAGGATACCACATGCTGCCTGTGTCTGCCAGAGGAAACAGCTGTGTGTAGTTCACTGTGAATCACACTCTCGACATGTGTCTGATTCTACAGCCGAAACAAATGTTGCCTGAGGTAATTATGGGTAGGTGTCACCTCCGTTTATCTGCTTCTTTCCTCTTCTGTCTGTGTGTGTGTGTGTGTGTGTGTGTGTGTGTGTGTGTGTGTGTGTGTGTGTGTGTGTGTGTGTGTGTGTGTGTGTGTGTGTGTGTGTGTGTGTGTGTGTGTGTGTGTGTGTGGGCTCCTCTAAGGATGTCTCTTTACAAACATCCTGACACCCACACACTCTACAACAGCTCCTGTGTATTGCTATTTTCAATATACTTCACTAACGTATGAGTACTATAATATAAGCAACAAAAAATGATACTGATCTCGGCCTCTTGTAAAAATGTAGATTTGACCTGCTGTCAACTACTGATACAAGTGTGAATAGGCCTTTATTTAAAAATTCAAAATTCAGATATGCTGACTGACATATTCCCAGGTTATTTGTTTAGATTTCGTAAATGAGAATGTAAAATTCTCAAGGAATCACACGTGAAAATACCAATTTCACACGGAATACACATCTTTAGTAATATCACAAAGAGACTCTGTGTCACTTGTGATACATTGATATGAATCGCTCATACAATGTTATAAAAACATGTGAATCTGACAAGAAATGTCATACATCAATTGAGATCATTTTACATATTAAAGACTAATTGATTTATAGTCATTGTACATGTGACATTACACATCTGAATACAATAACTTAGCAACTAATATCTCCTTTAAAAACAACATTTGTATAAATTCAGATTATAAAGGCATATTCTGTTCTGTTCAAATGTCGGGATGTCCATAGTTTCAACACTCAAATTCCAATACTATTCTCCCAAAACCACTGCATACCATTTCAAACTATTTCAAATGGAGATTATACATTTGAATGGTCCTGTTTTTATCTCCCTGCTAACTAAAATATCTTACTTTTCCAACACTGTTCCTAACAAGACTATACTGTGATACAGCAGTACAGCCGGTGTGTGTACGTGTGATGTCATACTTTGGTGATAACTCCACACCATGGTGATGTTTATCTTTTTCATGATCCTCACTAACTTATTTTGGCCTTTTAGATCACACCTGCTCTGCTCTAATGGTTAACTGAGATGAATCCATTAACACAACAGTGCTGCTAAGAACATGTACCTGAATCCACCGGTATAGTAGTATCAAGGAAGAGATCTCTAATCAAAATCCATTAAGGGGACTTTATAGCAACAAAAACACAACATGTGATCACTAAAGCATAACCAGCCTTCTAACTCCTCTAACACTGATGCCTATAAACCAGCTTAACCAAAACATTCTGTATTTTGATGTTGAACGTGACACGGTGCATGCAGTCTTACCTGTCCCGATGCCAGGCTCTCCCTGTGTGCTGGTTAGTGGTTTAGTCCAGGCAGCAAAGTGCTTCCCACCCCTTACTTCTGTCTGAAACAAGCAGCTCCCAACTTAAAAGGGAGGAGGAAAAGAAAAAGGCCAGCCCCTCCCCTCACTGAGAGCAAAGTTCAGCTTCCTGGTGTACACAATGCTGGGACACACTGCTGATACAGTGCAGATAAAAGTCACTGTAAAAGGATAGCAGTGGGATCATAATGGGATGTCCTCCGTAGCGGTTATAGTACACCTGGCTGGCTCAGGGAGCAGCAGTGAGGAGACAAAGGAACTGGTTATGCAGCTTAGAGGGCAGATAGCAGCAGACCTGCTCTAAACCACTGGATGAATGAACTTAACCCACGTTCACAGGAAGCAGAGCTTGTTGCAACCTGCACAGTGGGTCATTACAGCTGCTCTGTAAACTCTGTGTGCGAAGCAACAATTGCGACATGCACATTTAAGAGGTGCAGTTAAGCTTTATAGCTCTATTACAATGGTTTCATCATCTTTCTTTGTATTACCTGCAGTGCAACCTGATCTGAGTATCAAAATACAAAAGTAATGTAACCTGATTATTTCCGAGGCCATTGGATTACCTCAATATAAAATGCAATGAAATAATTCGAAGAGAAAAACAATAACGATACATTTGTTTTTTGACTTAAGTTTCTAATGTAAGACAACAGAACAATGTGACCTTAGAAAAGAAGAAACCAAGATTTTTAGGATAAAAAAGGATTTTATTGAAAAGCTGCGTTTCATGAAGCATATTCAGGCAGCAGTCTATTCACCAACACTGAAACACGTGAGCACATTCTACAGTTTAAAAAAGGTGAAAGAAAATCTGAGCTGACAGAAAATGCTCCGTTTTAGTTTAATACACACAGTTAAGCTCACACACACTATTTTATGAACATAGATTCACCTGCTGAATTAAAAACAGAACAAATGAAGCAAAGAAAGTGAAAACCATAAAGCAGATTCAGGCAGTAGGCGTATAGATTCACACTTAAAGTATTATCCTACAGAACAGTACAGCTCTAAGAGAAGAGACAACATCTGATCCTTTACAACAAACACTATGCTCTTTTTAGATTTTACCAACACTGTAATCGTGCCAGTAATCCCCAATGTTAAATAATGTAACAGTAATCTAAATAATTATTTTTTATGTAACTGTAAGGAAATAAAGTAACTTTTTTTGTATCCTGATTATGTAATCCCGTTACATGTAACCCCCCAAACCTGTTGTCTTGTCAGCCAAACTCACCTCATTGGCTCAGCTGTGAGTGCGCGTGTAGTTCCTCCCCCGGCCAGAGAGTGGCGCTGTGAGTGATGGGTCGGGTTATCGGACTGTGTTCTGTTTCTCAACTTCCGTTTTATTTCCTCTTTCAACGGTACTGACTTTAGCTCCTTTAGCTCCATGAAATTGTGACACTTTTATGAAATATTAGTGCATATTCCGACAATGCACAACACAGGGACCAGGCTTGTGTTTCACCGGACGGTCCGCCTGCTGTCACACCGACATTAGCTCTCTGTGGTCGGCTGTGAGCTCACCATGCAGCTCGCTCCGGCTAACCAGTCCCACCTGATCCGCTCCAGTCAGAAGGACGAGTACTACCAGAGCTCCCTGAGGAACACCGCCAACGAAGCCTTCCAGACTCTGGCTGGTGAGAGGGTTTAATAAAGGCTTCTCTTCACTAGGTGAACAGTTTCAAATGTGTTCAGGCTCCTGCTGTCAACCTTGTGTTTGGTGAAATAATGGGCCAACATAGCTTCTTGTTCTGGGTTGATTAAGAGTCTGAATCTGATTATATCATGCACGGGGTTTCATGCAAAAGGTAGAGTTGGAAGAAGTAAAAGTACTAACACCACACTGTAGAAATATGTTACAAGTAAAAGACCTTCATTAACAATGTTACTTAAATAAAATTACACAATTATAAGCAAGTAAAATATACTTAAGTACTGAATCAAAAAGTATTTATTATCCAAAGTGCCTTATTTTTGGAATAATATATTACATCAGTAGATCATAATAAGTGAAGCATTAATGTGTTAATTTTGTAAAGAATGAGATAACTTTACTGACTTTTTATACTGCCAGATATCTCCACTCATAATAGTACATCAAATGTCATTAGTCAATTTAAATGTTCTATTCATAATATGAACCTCAAGTAACTCATCTTTTCAAATACATGTAGTCGAGAGTTTTAGCTAGTTTACTTCACTTTATCATGTAGAGAAAACTCTGCTGTCTCGCTCATACTAATACAATCCTAAGTGGTACACAGCCCCTCGTATATTCTATAATACTCCGGGATAAGGTTGAGGCTGGCAGGGCTCCTGCGGTCCACCTTGTGTTTGGTGAACTTATTCATTTAGGGGTGAAGAGTAAAATCTGATATTTATTATGCACTCTGTCTAACGGGTCAAGCACAGTAATATATAACATGTTCTGTTCAATTTGTTTGACCTGACACTTTCTGCTTAGTCTGACGCTTATAACAAATATGAACTGGTTATTATCACAATCAAACGTGTTGATTAAGCACGTGTTTGTTTAAATGTCTATCTGTGTAGCTGTACTTTCAGCACTTCAGGATGGTCTCAGGGTTAAAGTGTGTTCACTTCCTGTAGGATCCAAGCGATGGCTGGACTGGAGGAGAGAGATCGAGCTGCTGTCAGACCTGGCATACTACGGTTTAACCACATTCTCAGGTCATTAAGAAATCTCACTTTACTATGTTTAACAAATCTGTTATTGTAACTAATCTGTGATAACTGCAAGATGGCTGCTATCACACTGCTTTATACATGCTTCACGTATTTAAATTACTGCTACTGGTACTCTTTGTGGTCCACCTGGATATGTATTTTTGTAAATTGGAATTCTTTTATTTTCAATTTTTTCTTCTATTTTATGCATGCCTCTTAATGAATATGTTTGCAATATTTGGCTCTTTTGCTGTAACAATGCAATTTCCCCTCTGTGGGACGATTAGAGGTTTTCTGATTCTGATAGTTAGTTGTCTTGTGATTAACTTATGTCCTTCTCCCCCCCAGGTTACCAGACCCTGGGCGAGGAGTACGTCCACATGGTCCAGGTGGACCCCACTAAACACCGGGTCCCCTCCCGGGCCAGACGGAGCCTCTTTGTCCTCCTCCACTCCTTCTTCCCTTACCTGCTGGAGAAGGTGCTGGTGAGCCTGGAGAACGAGCTGGAAGGCGGGGGGGCGAGGCAGCGGCAGGCAGCGTCCCGGTTCTGGAGCCTGGAGGCCTGGCTGAGGAGGGGGGTGCAGAGGGTGGTGGGGCTGCTGCCGGAGCCCCAGAGGAGGGCCTGCCTCCCGGCTGTGTCTGTCCTCCGGCAGGCTCTCACCCTGCTGCAGCGCCTCCATGTGGCTCTGTTCTACCTCAGCGGATCCTTCTACCACCTGTCCAAGAGGGCGACTGCCATCAGATATGTACGTCATGTAGATTTCTTTACATGTCATTTATATCACATATTAGACCAAGTAGAAACATTTTTTTTTTATTTTGTAAAATTCTGGTACATGAGAAGGCCCTATGTCTGCATTCATACTCTCACTCTCTCAACCAAACATCCAGTGCTGGAATGTAATTAAGTACATTTACTGAACGTTTTAGGTATTATACAATACTTTATACTTCTACTATATTACATTTTGGAATCAAAATTGTACTTAATGCCACTACATTTATCTGACAACATTTGTTACTGCTTATACAACATATAAATCAACCAATGAATTATGATGTACTTATATGGATTAAGATCTCCTGTAAAAAAAGTCACTAAAAGTAATTTAGCTCCATTTTTATTAACTGCAAAATGTAAATAATGAACACATGAATAGATCACTAATTATAATCCAGTAATGTTTCCAAAAACGACTGTTCTGCTTAGTTCTAAAACTTTTGTAAATTCACTTAAGTAAAGTAATGAATGCAGGTCTTTTTTTCTTGTAAGTGAGTATTTCTACATTGTAGTATTATTCATTTTAATTTTGTAAAAGATCCAAGTTCTTCTTCTGCCTCTGTACTAAGTAAACATTTGAGGTACTTGTACTTCAGTTGAGTATTTTTTGAATTATGCTACTTTATACCAATATTGTACTTTCTAATCCACTAATTTATTTTACAAGATTAGTTGCTTCGCACATTGAGGATATTAATACACATTGTAAATCCACTAAGGTTATATAATTCTATTAATATAATGTATTATCTACCCAACAGTATTTAGTTATTAGAATGAGCTCCACCTTTACCAGGTTCACATTGAAGTGACACATTATTGCATCAATAAATGTAATACAATAATAAAACATGATACTGAAATTGATCATACTACATAAGAAGTTCTTTTAATCTATGCTTTGAGTATATTTTGATTCTGAGTAAAAGATCTGAGTACTTCGAATATCAGAGGTCATGTGTTTGCTGCCGCCAGTATGTGTTCACTAGTAATTACGATCAACAGTCAAAAGGGGCTGGATTGTAAATGTTTTTTTGATTGTTTGGGCTTTTGAGTTAATTGCATGACGACTAAGGATGTGTGTTTGTGTGTGTATAGCTGCGTGTGACGGGGCTCCAGGGTGATGACAGCACCATCAGGAGCAGCTACAGGCTCCTGGGGGCCCTGTCCCTGCTGCAGCTCCTCATCACTGTGAGTCTGCAGCTCAACAACCACAGGAAGAAGCAGAGAGCCCGGCAGGAGTGGCAGCTCCACAGGAACCTCAGGTACACACTGCCAGAGAACACACACTCTCTAAACCTGCATTCAAACTACTCATCCTTAATCTGAGGCTCATCTTTCAGTGAGATGTGTTGTTACTTACTGAAGTCGTTAGAGTTCTTCTTAAAGTCAATCAAACCTGGCCAATAGTTGTTCATATTTCCTGCAGCACAGTTCTGGCAATTGTTGTTTGTTTTCTTTTAAACAATATATCTATTGACTTTCCTTAATGTCTACAAACTCTGTAATGACACAACCAATACATGACAAATACATATCTGAGATCTTTCAAGGGAACTAACTCAAATATGACTTTAAAGGGAACATATTCTTCTTCAGCTTCATATCAGTATGTAGTGTCTCTCCTGGGACATGTCTCCATGCTTTAATGTTCAAAAAGCTCTTTATTTCTCTCATACTGCCTGTGCTGCAGCACCTCTTTTCACCCTCTGTCTGAAACCAGAGCCCAGTCTGCTCTGATTGGTTAGCTGGCCGGCTCTGTTGTGAAAGGAAAGGGAAAGCCCCAAAGAGCATAATAGGGTAGTAATATATTTTTCCGAGCAAAAAAATAAGTACATCATATAATGTGCGGCTGTGGCTCAGTGGATTGGCGTGCTGGTCTTCGGATCAGTGGAGCACTGGTTCAAACCCCACTGCAGTCAGCATGTCGTTGTGTCCCTGGGCAAGACACTTCACCCCACTTTGCTCCTGTGGGGATTGCCCACAGTGTGTGTAAGTCACATGAGACTTACACACACATGTGGTGACATGTGTTGTAATGACATGTAATGTAATATCATCTTTTACTAGCAGCAGTCAAAAAGTTCAAAAGCTTTTATTGTCATTGTACAGAATACAACGAGATTCATAGTTACTGCTCCAGCGATTGCTTTAAAAACAGACATATTAAAACACAGATTAAAAGGTCTGACAGTTACGACCAGCAAGTAGCGTTAGATTTCTACTTAGCAAACCTAAAATCAAAGACAGTCCATATCTAAATGTCGGTGAAAAAGGTCCCCCATTTGATCTAATATTTTAGACGAGTATTCTGCAGTTTACAGGTGATGAGTCACGGTACCTACTTTGGTTCTACATGTTTGACATAAAGGGGACAGTGAGGAGCTAAAACAGGGGATATTTGTATCTAAACTGGATTGCTTTGGATTTGGCACATATGGATATATTTTTGTCATAATTCCACATATCTTCCCATGTCAACTAATTGATAGTATAGTAACATTTTGTTGAAAGAATTTAGTTACACAATTTATTTAGGTCTTTAAGGTAGGGTAGGTAAGTTTGAGAAACCGGCTCGAGATACACTTTTTGTTATATTCCATGGAATGCTCTTAACATCCCGATAGCAATGAATATCTTAAGTGCTTTGACAATAAATCCATACAAAAAAGTCATCTGTGGAAGCCGTAGTACTGTAAAAAGCACGACCAATCATTTTAGCCGGCCCGGCTAAAGTAACTGGATGGCCTACCTGCCTGTCAGCCTTCCATCTGTGCACAAACTTATCTCGTGCCCTCATTGGTCATGTGCGCGTTCGTGTGTGTTGGAGGAGGGGCTCTGTGAGGAAGTGGCAGATTTTCTCCGGTTGTGTATTTTCAAATTCTAGCGATCTCGAGCCGGTTTCTCAAACTTACCTACCCCACCTTTAAGTGAACTATTAACACAATTGAGAATGCTGATTGTACTCCAATAAAGGAAGATTTCTACCTTAGAATCACCATTTGTATATCAGTGACTCACCCCGGCTACCTTGAATTCTTGAAGACAAAACACGAAACTTTTATGGTGAACAAAATAAAGGAGAAAAAAAAGGCATGCCCGTGGAGGTATTGGAGGAAAATAAACTTTTTCTTCAAGAATTCATTGGGTGAGTTAATGATTTAAAAAAATATCTGGGGTGTGAAGTATTTCTTTTAGAATTGAACTTCATATCGAAGTGTTGTGCTGCAGTAAAAGTTGGAAAAAGTCTGATGCTGAACTTTTGGTCTGCAGTCCTCAGCACACACACAGCGGGGGGGGGGCCCAGGGGGCCAGCTGCATGCTCTGCCTGGAGGAGCGCAGACACTCCACCTCCACGCCCTGCGGACACCTCTTCTGCTGGGAGTGCATTACAGAGTGGTGCAACACCAAGGTCAGCTGCAGCACACCCACGATACTCTCAAGCACATCTCACTCTGTATTGTCTCACATCAGAATCAGAATAGAAGCTTATTACCAAGTAGGTTCACACACGAGGAATTTGCTTTGCTGTAAATCATGCATACAAAGACAAAAATAGAAGAATATGGTTTCTTTTTTTAAAGACAGGAGCAAAATAAAGTACTATAGTCAAATGAAATAGGACAAATACTATATACAAAATAGAAAGCGATGCAAGTTTAAAAAGAGTTAGTGTGGAGGAGAAATGGGGGGGGAGTGCATAGTAATCAGCAGCAAACCACTTCAACACGTGTATTTCGGTTTATTCACGGCATTCATTTTGTATTGTTGTTTTATAGTTATTTGTTAATGTATACTACCCAATTTGTGTTCTTTGAAATTGAAAAGGATATTGTGTTTGTTACTTTCGTTGCAGTTGTATATGTTAAGTGTAATTTGGCTTGGCTTCCTATTTTGTATGGTCATGCTTTTATTTTGAAGGAGAGTTAGCGATGTTGACAGGAAGTTGTTGTTGCTATGGAAACAACGTGACGGAGATTAACAGAGAAAAAGTAATATCTACATTATAAAGACGGAGAAAGTAAACGATAACGTTTATGGTTAAGTGTTAGCACCCCCCCGAAGAGGCACAAGCTCTTACGTTGATATTGGAGTTTTCAATGAATTCCATTTGGCAGCCGCAGTGCAGAATAACGAAATTGAAACCCGAATAGTACTCCAACGAACGGATATTCGGATATTCGGGTACAGCCCTAGTAGACAGGTGTGTTTTATAGCTGAGGGGCTCGATTGGCTGTTGCAGAGTGAAGTGCACGTGCTGGAGTGTTTGCTTTAACCATGTCCTGGATGAAGGAAGACTGGATCCCCTCACAGCACGGTAGGCCAGCACCAGTGCCTTGAAGTGGGTTCAGGCAGCGGAGGAGGGGGCTAGTGTGGGAGAATTCTGGGAAGGTTTCAAACCGGTCGGGCTCCTGCATTCTGAATTAGCTGCAGAGGTGGGATGCAGGAAGTCCAGAGATGTGACGGTGAGATGACAGGAGCCTGGACCAAAACATACAGTAAGTCACCTTCTCAGTCAGTAGATGTATCCTCCTGATGTTGTAGAGTGCATCTGTAGGAGTGGGTTGTAGCAGTGATGTTAGAAGTGAAGTTCAGCTGGTCGTCCAGGGTCACACCCAGAATCCTTTGCAGTCTGAGGTGCTGATGAAAGGTCATGGATGGAAGGGTCCTTACCTGGAGGAAGAGCAGCTCTGTCTTGTTTAGGTTAGATAAGCAGAGATTCCTTTTTGATGTATTGTTGAGATTCCTTTTGTGGCTGCTAATGAAGTCAAATGCTTGTGTGAGGACACCACACTTTATCACCCTGTGTGGCCACACCCCCTCTGATCAGGGTAACACTGAAACTGCCGGGCAGCAGCAGAAAGTTCCACACTTCCCCCTTTAATCATTGACATTAAGTGGTCTATAAATGCCCCCGAAAGTCAGAGGCAATCGAAAGCACTTCCTCTCTTAGTTTAAAACAATAACTAAATGTAATCCAAAAACACATTAAGACAGGAAGCCTCAAACAGAAAAGCCATTAAAACTCTAAAATATTTAACAGTGCTTTCTAGCAGTCAGATCCTTCAGCAGTTAAAAGGAACATCTGTCTTTCTTCAAACCAGCTGGTTGAAGTTGACTTGGCATTGATTAAAACTACACCAAATATATGAAGGTTAAAAAACTCATATGTGATGAGTGTTGTTTCTCCCTCCCACAGGCGGAGTGCCCCCTGTGTCGGGAGAAGTTCCAGCCCCACAGACTGGTGTACCTGAGGAACTGCAGCTAGCACACAGACTGGTGTACCTGAGGAACTGCAGCTAGCACACAGACTGGTGTACCTGAGGAACTGCAGCTAGCACACAGACTGGTGTACCTGAGGAACTGCAGCTAGCACACAGACTGGTGTACTGAGGAACTGCAGCTAGCACACAGACTGGTGTACCTGAGGAACTGCAGCTAGCACACAGACTGGTGTACCTGAGGAACTGCAGCTAGCACACAGACTGGTGTACCTGAGGAACTGCAGCTAGCACACAGACTGCTGCACTGATGTGTGTTAACTCTCTCAGGAACACGTGGAGACACAACAGAACTTTGTGCCAACATTCTGCAGTTCTTTAAGTATAAACCTTTAGCTTCTTATTTTTTTTATTTTTTTTATGAACTGCCTCTTTTGTTTATTAAATGAATTAAAAAAATACAATTATATAATGAACAAATATTGTGTGGTGCCTTAATTTTGCAGTTTAATTTATTACACTTGTAACTTGCGTATTATGAAATGTGTAACAAAATAGAATTTGATGTATTGTTGAGCCGCAATGTCAAAATGACTAAAACAAAGCTGTCCAATTACATCTGCACACACTCTTTGCATTGTGTTGCTTTAGTTTTTACTTCAACTCATATCAATGATGCAGCAAATCTTAGCATCACGTGGTAAAGTGTATAATATAACTTGGTTTTACTTAATTAGTCATTTTCTGCCAGCATTACTCTATTTAAAGGTCCCATGTCATGCTTTTCTGGTTATGACCCGTCCCCTTGTGTGTTATGAAGCTTTTTCTGCATGTAAACGGTCTGCAGAGTCACAAACCCTCAAAGTACACCCTGTAGCGAGTAAAACTCTAACACAGAAAAGACCTGTCTATGCTGCCCCAGAACGCCTCGTTGGAGATTTCTCTTTGTCTGTTTTTTAATCATAAAACCAACAGAGCCTGGGGAGGAAAGCTGGGTTAACAAAGACTGATGATAACAACCGTTCAGGTACAAGTCATCTGGTGAGGCTTTTGGTTTTTATAGAGTCAGCTAAAGGAAATAAACCCTGGCCCTGAATTTGCTTTGTAGTTCAGCATCAGGTGTCACAAAAAAGTCCAATTTTTTTTAAAGATTTGTCTTCAAATATCTCTGGAGACCTTTGCACACCTCCCTAAACTCACATTCAGCAACAACTTGTCTTGTTCTGTTGTGTTTTATAATGTCAGTGTTAGGACCTCTCTCTCTCACACTTTACATGTTCATAAGAACTCTTAGGTCACGAGATGGAAAAGAAGATAAGGTCAAAGAACTCCAACCCAACGGATGATCATCTTAAGAGTGCTAAGTCTCAATAAATGACAACTGTTCAAACCTCTGCAGTCTTACACAGGCAGAGAGCAGTTACTTCAAAAACAGAAGGTAAAGGCTTTGTAGTTAATACCTAATAACCCGGAGCCGGCTTCAGGTGATTCAATTGTACTTAAATGGTGCAAAATGTCCCCCAAAACATAGTTCGAGCTGCATTTAATTACTATTTTTCACTTTTTGCCACTAGAACAATCTGAAACAGCTGACATAATCTGACTCTCCAAAGATGCACCACTGTATCTGCATTTTGCTGTGCAACCTTGTGTTGCAGAATAACAATACATTATCCTTTAACACTTAAATATGTTATTGCTTCTATCAGATGTGATTGTATACAGTCAAATGTGTTTATGTTAAATACAGTATTGCATCTGCAGATATTAGTCTAAGTGAGTAGTGTAGTGAAAAACGGTACATTTAGTAAAGAAAGAAATGTGACCACCCTGTATCGTACAAAACACAAATACAGTATAATAATACATATACACCGTTACAGTAAAGCAGAGACAATGTAAAGAACACAGTAAAGCTGTTTTACTGTTAAACATCTTACAGTACTGCCAATGAGTAACCACAAACACAATACAACCTCTAACAGTGCACAGACCAGAGGTTCAAGTATCAATCAGACCCTTGTTTGTGCTGCTCTGGTGATTTACGGTGATGTCAGGAACATTTCAGAGTCTACAATCATAGCCTTTTAAAAACTTCCCATAACACAATAGGCTGCTGTCTGTGAAGCCATGTGTCTCCAGCCTGCCCCCCCAGGCATCTGAAAACAAACCTTGTATTTGGCATGACTCTTAGACAGTGCTAAGGTAAGTGTGTTATGGAGAGAATGGGATGTGTGCAGACAGGTTCAGGCTCTGTTTGTTGTGGATGCTTAGTGATAGACATACAGTCATATCTCACACACAGTCTTAACTTCTCCTGCAGTGAGACGACCTGAGAGGATGCTGTCACTCAGCTGAAGTCTATTAACCTGCTGTTCTCCAGTTCATTTTTAAATGTACAATGATGCATAAGGTTCATCATTTCATAAAAAGAGACAGGGTACATATCATTGGATTTTTTGTGTTATATTGAGACAACATATTTATGAAGCAACATTAGAATAGTGTGTTTGAGTCCGCTTTCCATCACAAGTACTTGTGATGGAAATATCTGTCTTGTATCCACAAAAGTATTGTGTGTGTGTGTGTGTGTGTGTGTGTGTGTGTGTGTGTGTGTGTGTGTGTGTGTGTGTGTGTGTGTGTGTGTGTGTGTGTGTGTGTGTGTGTGTGTGTGTGTGTGTGTGTGTTTGTTTGTGTGACTAGTTAGAAACCTTATTTTAGGCTTACTACGAAAAGGTTTAAAGGAGGGAACCGGATGTTGTAATTCTCCATCAGGGTTTCAGGACTCATTCCTGCACCACTCTATGGAGAGGGAAAATAACAATGGATTCGGGTTCTAGCGCATTTAACGACTTTAGACACTAATGATTTAAATTGAAAATAAAGCTAATCTAGTGATTGTACAGGGAAGTTGATTTCCCTAAAAAAAAACATGTTACATTTATTCACAGGTGTCTTGTCCCAATGTAAGTTAATGTGAAAAAGTATTTTTGGGCACAATGACGTGACGCACTGACACAGAAGTTGTAGGAAAGCGGTTTGGCCACTACGAAAAGGTGCTTAAAGGCCCAGTGCCCTTTCTGGGGGCTTGAATAGACCCAATTGTTAAACTCTGATCCGGTGAAGATCAGAGTTACACTGGTTCTGGCGGTCGAAAGTCTTATGTGCACACAGCAAATATTATTAATATTCAGTTCATTTAGGATAGGTTACAGGGTTAACCCTTGGTTGTGCAGCCTGGTGGCTACAGGCACAAAGGACTGTCCGGGGCGCTTAGTGCTGTGCTGAGGAGGGATGAGTCAGTGTAGTCCACACACACTTCAGAAACGTCTCAAATCTAGCAGGTGCGTTTCAAAGGAACATTAGCAGCTAAACTCAACACATTAATGATTTTCTGGAGTTTTCCCATAGCTGAGGCTAGCTGCCAGCCCTGAAGAGTGTTAACACCCAACATCCAGGCCTCACACACCCTGGTGGCTCCGCTGTGCTGACACCCAGCCAGGTCCCTCTCTCTGCTGACACCCAGCCAGGTCCCTCTCTCTGCTGACACCTAGCCAGGTCCCTCTCTCTGCTGACACCCAGCCAGGTCCCTCTCTCTGCTGACTCCCAGCCAGGTCCCTCTCTCTGCTGACACCCAGCCAGGTCCCTCTCTCTGCTGACACCTAGCCAGGTCCCTCTCTCTGCTGACACCCAGCCAGGTCCCTCTCTCTGCTGACACCCAGCCAGGTCCCTCTCTCTGCTGACACCCAGCCAGGTCCCTCTCTCTGCTGACACCCAGCCAGGTCCCTCTCTCTGCTGACACCCAGCCAGGTCCCTCTCTCTGCTGACACCCAGCCAGGTCCCTCTCTCTGCTGACTCCCAGCCAGGTCCCTCTCTCTGCTGACACCCAGCCAGGTCCCTCTCTCTGCTGACACCTAGCCAGGTCCCTCTCTCTGCTGACTCCCAGCCAGGTCCCTCTCTCTGCTGACTCTTAGCCAGGTCCCTCTCTCTGCTGACTCTTAGCCAGGTCCCTCTCTCTGCTGACACCTAGCCAGGTCCCTCTCTCTGCTGACTCCCAGCCAGGTCCCTCTCTCTGCTGACACCTAGCCAGGTCCCTCTCTCTGCTGACTCCCAGCCAGGTCCCTCTCTCTGCTGACACCTAGCCAGGTCCCTCTCTCTGCTGACACCTAGCCAGGTCCCTCTCTCTGCTGACTCCCAGCCAGGTCCCTCTCTCTGCTGACTCCCAGCCAGGTCCCTCTCTCTGCTGACTCCCAGCCAGGTCTCTCTCTCTGCTGACACCTAGCCAGGTCCCTCTCTCTGCTGACACCCAGCCAGGTCCCTCTCTCTGCTGACTCCCAGCCAGGTCTCTCTCTCTGCTGACACCTAGCCAGGTCCCTCTCTCTGCTGACACCCAGCCAGGTCCCTCTCTCTGCTGACACCTAGCCAGGTCCCTCTCTCTGCTGACTCCCAGCCAGGTCCCTCTCTCTGCTGACACCCAGCCAGGTCCCTCTCTCTGCTGACACCTAGCCAGGTCCCTCTCTCTGCTGACTCCCAGCCAGGTCCCTCTCTCTGCTGACACCCAGCCAGGTCCCTCTCTCTGCTGACACCTAGCCAGGTCCCTCTCTCTGCTGACTCCCAGCCAGGTCCCTCTCTCTGCTGACACCCAGCCAGGTCCCTCTCTCTGCTGACACCTAGCCAGGTCCCTCTCTCTGCTGACTCCCAGCCAGGTCCCTCTCTCTGCTGACTCCCAGCCAGGTCCCTCTCTCTGCTGACTCCCAGCCAGGTCCCTCTCTCTGCTGACTCTTAGCCAGGTCCCTCTCTCTGCTGACACCCAGCCAGGTCCCTCTCTCTGCTGACTCCCAGCCAGGTCCCTCTCTCTGCTGACACCTAGCCAGGTCCCTCTCTCTGCTGACTCCCAGCCAGGTCTCTCTCTCTGCTGACACCTAGCCAGGTCCCTCTCTCTGCTGACTCCCAGCCAGGTCCCTCTCTCTGCTGACTCCCAGCCAGGTCCCTCTCTCTGCTGACACCTAGCCAGGTCCCTCTCTCTGCTGACTCCCAGCCAGGTCCCTCTCTCTGCTGACTCCCAGCCAGGTCCCTCTCTCTGCTGACACCTAGCCAGGTCCCTCTCTCTGCTGACACCTAGCCAGGTCCCTCTCTCTGCTGACACCTAGCCAGGTCCCTCTCTCTGCTGACTCCCAGCCAGGTCTCTCTCTCTGCTGACACCTAGCCAGGTCCCTCTCTCTGCTGACACCCAGCCAGGTCCCTCTCTCTGCTGACACCTAGCCAGGTCCCTCTCTCTGCTGACTCCCAGCCAGGTCCCTCTCTCTGCTGACACCTAGCCAGGTCCCTCTCTCTGCTGACTCCCAGCCAGGTCTCTCTCTCTGCTGACTCCCAGCCAGGTCTCTCTCTCTGCTGACACCTAGCCAGGTCCCTCTCTCTGCTGACACCCAGCCAGGTCCCTCTCTCTGCTGACTCCCAGCCAGGTCCCTCTCTCTGCTGACTCCCAGCCAGGTCCCTCTCTCTGCTGACACCTAGCCAGGTCCCTCTCTCTGCTGACACCTAGCCAGGTCCCTCTCTCTGCTGACACCTAGCCAGGTCCCTCTCTCTGCTGACTCCCAGCCAGGTCTCTCTCTCTGCTGACACCCAGCCAGGTCCC